AAATATATACATATCCATAGATAGATATACATACAAATAACAATAATATTATTAATATATCGATCTCCTCATCAAGCGCCCATAGTTCGAGTTAGAGCACACCCCGTAAACTGAACCCGCCCACGCGCGGCAGGCCGAGCCCGACCCCACCGTAGGTGGAGTACAGGGCTCGTAACATATACAAGCATATTTAAAATTTCCGAAATCTTAATTTCAAGCCCTCCTTAAAATCCTTATACTTAGATACTCGTTTGATCGCGATTGAAATATTCGATTTACTAATCGATTACAAAAACTAATTGAATGAACCGAATGTCTTTTTTCGTACAGCACTATGCAACCATAGACAAGTCATAGATGTATAGATGAAAAATTACCTCATTTTTGGACTGCCATTTTTCAAATACAATTTTACGATGCATTGACTTACAATTATATAGACGTCGGGTCCGCGCTAAAAAGTGTCCGAACTTATAGGGCGTTAAAATCGTATACAGAGCGTCATTCACGCTTTAGTCTTCGTTTGTTCGACTGACAGCGAAGCAAGCAAAATTAGACAGTACTGCGATGACATTACAATTTAAATTCAACGTAGCTTTTTCATATTCCTTTACATCCACTACATTTAAATAGGTTGACTTAGGACATTTTTTTCGTGGTTTTTGTATTAGACCCGTCGTCCATTTATTTGTAAGTCCAAAGATCAGCACGCATCAACACCGCCTATTTATTTTATACGGAGAATTTTGAGTTACACGGACCACGTAAAATATTTATAAACAAAATGTTACTGTATCTTGTGACTGACTGCCAGGAGATTTGCACAATTTGTCATTTAAAATTCGCTACCAACATTTGCTGTGTAAATTTGTGGTATACTAACCATTGACCTACATACTAACGGTATAACACTTGGGAGATTTAAATGAAACAAAACAAACAATATCTTTTGATTCGATTTTATTTTCGTAATATTCAACTGTTGATAGATAACAAATGATCTTACAATATCCAATTTGTACATAATGACTTAAGAAAATATGGCAACACTCATATTTTAACAATAAATACGTGATGATATACTGCTGTCGCTTGCTTTAATTCAAGGCCAAAACACATCAAAGCGGTACGGCACTAAAAGTAATGTACGATACATTACTTTTAGTACACATCAGTGTGTCTTGACCTTTATACGCCTCGTGGCGTTGAAGATAAAACGGGGGCAAATTCTAACCTAACCCCAGAGGGCAAAGAGCTTCGATCGAAGCAGTTGAGTACACCTTTCTAAGGAAACGTCTATTCATAATGTTTCAAATTTAGCGACCGTTGTCGAAAGTGTAAATAGGTACAAGCTTAGGGGTCAAACGCGACTCTTTGAAAAATGCCATTTTATATGTGTGTAGGTTTAGCCCCCATTAAGTTACAAAAATTGTTTTCACGTTATACATAAAAACATTAAAAAATAATACGATATTAGATGATTCTCATACTAGACAACTACTGTCACATTAACCATAAACTCGATTGTCTTTTATTTCAAAATGATCGATTAACTTCTAAAAATACAGTTGAAATTACAGTCAGGAAAACTTATTACATTTAATTAAGAGCTGTACAAATAGGCATGTTTCATTGTTTGTAACAAATTCAAGAAAGAAAAGATGTGATGTCACATCAATAAGGAACGTGCAGAAAAAAGGACAGCGTTGCTGAAACTAGATGGCAACACTAGTATAAGAACAATATTACACCAGTTTTATTATCCGATATCTACAAATACTCTATGTGTCATACAGTTAACAAGGATTACAAGTTTTAGCACGTTCCAAATAAAGTCTATTGTGATTGTCTGATGCTATCATCTGATACGTCAATGAGATATTAATGAAAACACCTATATCTAACGACAAGGTTGCGGACACATTATGTGTAATGTGATTTATGTTCGTAATTGAAATATGCCATTAACTTATTTGTGATACGGCAAAAAAGGAACTAAAAACGTGTATATTAGGGTAATTTTCAGGTTAGTTTTCTCTATCTAATTTCTGTGGCAATTTTTATTATTTAAGTATTGCGAGTAAATTATCGTGAAATTATTACTCTCGAATATTAAATATATTACTTCATGATAATTTTCTACAATATTTAAATAATAAAAATTGACACCGAAATTAGATGCAAAAAACTAGCCTGAAATCATTTTCAGGCTAGTTTTCAGGGTAGTTTTCTAATGGGTCATCCCATTAGCAACACATACTCATATCACAAAGAAGTTGCTGGGGTTTTATGATTAGATTATACAGTTTTAACGTGTACGACGCCATTCGTTGTTTGTAATACACAATGTTGTACCAGCAATGCAGTTGTGTTCAAGTTTTCTAGAAGTTTCTGATGTCTGTTCTCAAGAAATTGCACACAATGTCTCCACAGCGTACATGAAGCAACGTTTAGTGTACTTCCATACACAATGAAACATCGCATCTTAAGCTGACAGTCAGTTAAGCTGATGTCAGGCTCAAGACTGAGTTTGAGCTTCCAGCCCATCTGAACCTTATATCCAATAAAGACTAAACTCGAATGACAAATATTTTCCACTAATGTGCTTAGTTTCAACAAACAACTTTATCAAGTCTTATAGAAGTAGACTGTGACGACGAGAAAACAGCCACACTAGTAATGCCGTGTGTATCCCTATAAACGTCTTAGGGCCACGACACATCACCAGCAATGCAATGTCGCAACCGACATTTGCTACGTCGAGTAAGGGCTCGGTCAAAGAAATGCGTGTCCAGAAGAGCCCGTGATAACGATCGAAGTGTATCTAATGTATTTACTTTGAATGCAGCGGTATGAACACATTGTTGTAAGCGAGGATGCATTGGTTTAGCCGGGCCTGCTGTCAGGTGCAAATTCGGACGTTGCGATATGGCATCGTGTCAAATCTCTTTGCGTCTACAGCCTTTAACATATTTAAGTTGTAACAATTAATACGACGTTCTTGCACGCCTTCAAAACACCCCCTTCCGGGTCGATCGTTGAAAAACTTGATATCGAAGCTCCGTTCGCAAACTACGTAAATCACGTATGAAAAAATATCCAAACAACCCTCCATCTATGATAGACAAGTCCCTTATACATCTTATTTGTTTCACCCAGTTTCCGAACGCAACGCCGTAACGCACAATCACCAAATAATTTTTCCTAACATTCATAAATATCTATTTAAAATATTTGATATGAAGAAATAACTATTCTAAAAATCGTCTTGTGCGCCAACATGAAATACAAGGAAGACCAGAATTATTATTAGAAAAAACGTGGAACAAACAAGTTTTTCAACATAGACCATCACATGGCTCCGAGTGGAGCCACACTTATTACTAAGTAAATAGATCACATTAGAATTAATGAACGAAGTAGTAGTGCTGGAAATTAATATTCGGTGACACTTCAAAATACATTAATTCGAAATGTAAGAATATTTACATCACTCATTATCCGTTGTTTATGCCGTTTAACGTTGTTGTCTTAGGTTAAATCTTCAAAAAAAATCTATGTACTTTATAAGTTTTACCACCCTTACAAGCGCTTGTTCATTGTACATAATACTGGTAGAATACCTGCTCAAAATTTCACCGAACAATCTTTGAACCACCATTTTATAACCCATACGACGAGGTATGTTTAACGTTTATAAATTTCAGAAGTCCTATCTATATTTTTTTATAAGTTTTCTAAGCTGTAACAGACCCAGTCAACGTTACCTATAATCATTATTCATTAAACATTTTCTATTGTAATTACACTTACCATTAAAGCAATAGTAAAATCTAAAGCGTCGGTTTAAAATATCGTGTTTTAAACAAAGACTTAGTGCTTGTTGGTTGAAATCTCACCTTAATGCAATCTGGACATACAGAGGCGATATCGGGAGCGTTCGGGCCGGATTTTTTGTAATGTCCGAGTTTTTATGCACCCTGCCACATCCGAAACCGGGTGGCGGCGCGATCGGGGGCCGAACGCTATGACAAACTGGCGGACCAGGCGCGGGCGTGGGACTTTACTCTCGCTCTCCGTCGGACATCTGTCAGAAAGAATTACCAAGTAATAGCTACTCGACGAAATTAAAACGCAATCTCAAATATGAAGCGTCATTTGCATCATCCGTTTTTAAATTTGGTCGAGTTGATTTTATTGATTGAGTTGCGAGAGATATCGGACGGAGAACAAGAGTACAGGGCCCTGGGAGGCACGCGAGGCGGTTGTCACCGTGCCGTCCACACATATCGGCAGCGTCGCGGTGCGACGGGGAGTGTGTTTTTATTAAGTTTCAATGTGAATTCAACCGAAAAGCTTTTCGCATTGATATCGTCTCTCCACTCTCTTTTGCGTTGCTTCCGTAACCCTCATAAAAGCAGAAAATTTCCCTGATCTTGCTTGCTTTCTTTAAAATCTCTGCATGCAAATTCCACGTGGGACTGCTGCTGTGTGGCACGCCCAGGTACGCATTCGCTTCCCGCAGGTCCGGCCCTGGACCGCTTTTCCCGGTGTATCGCGTCTGTGTGGTCTGCATCGAGTATATAACCAGATATAGAGACGAAATAAGGGCCATCCATCCCTGGCAACTTATCAGGTAAATGGGACGTATATCAATTTTAAATAACAACTTTCGTTTGCGCTGAAATCACAAATTAGAAAACTGAAACAGTACAGCGCCAACAACTGATATGTGTGTACGTCTTCGTATATTCTAATAATATTCTGTATTTATTCTAATAAAGATAATATTTATAACATGGAGGCTGTTCTATTCGATGGTGTGGGAAAAATAGCAAAACATCTAATTACAAAACAAACGGAATCACATTTCATCGATAATTAAATATTAAATATGTAATTTTGTAATTTTCGTCCATTACAGCAAAGCTCAACCTAACTGGTCGATTTGAAGTGAAACAATTGACTTTACCCGTCAAATGTTTCGAATTCGGGCTGGCCAATCGGAGCGCAGTTGTCACAGTAATGATTTGGCAGAATAGTTTTCAAACAAATGAAATGACATTTCGCCTCTATTTCTGGTTATACACTCGATGGTAGTCCGACTTTAAACGTTTCCTTTCGCAGCACTTACAAGTCACTATTATGCATTGTACACCGACTCTAAGGGATTCTATCGATCCTTAATCACCTTCAGCCGTGATAGCTGCGAGGAAAACAAAACACCGATTCCATTACAATGATTAAATTAGCGTCTCTCTTAAGATAAGAAAAATTACACAATAATACCAATATTCTTTACCTTTCGTATAAACTTTGGATTGAACCGTGTATTAAAATTGTGTCATTTCTGAATGACCCTTCTGTATCATGTCATGTCAGACCTCGGCACGCGAGCTCCGTGTTTTTCCTTATACTTTCTCTAGACACAATTCTCTAGAAACATGATAGTAACATTACAATTGTTACTATCATGTTATATATATGTAGTCGATAAGATAAGGGTAACTGTCGGTACCGTATTGTTTATTTTCTTTTTGTAACTACTTCGTAAAATGTACTATGGAATTAAAGAAAGATTAATCTTCTACGTAATCCTTGAAATGGTACATTTCAAAACGCCATTCAGAGATATTTTGGAACTGTAGGTATTATCCTGTTAAATTCTTGTTCATCAGCCATGTTGAAATTGCTCGTAACAAGCCATCAAAAGTAACAGATAAGGAAAAACATGGAGTTAGCGAGCGCTTCCCCTCTCACGCTATTACATACATCAAGCGGGGGCGGGGGGTCGTTTATTCAGGCGTTTACGCGCCTTCGTTCTGCTGCTTGAAGAGTAAAGTCTCTTCGAAAATGTATTTCTTGAGCGTCTCCTTGGGAAGATCATCCAGCTCCATAGCGAATCGGAATGGTTCCTCGGCAACGGGCTGCAAAGAAATAATAATTTTAATATTTGTTAACCGATTTCAAAAAAGGAGGACTTTCTCAATTTTTTTTGTGTGTATGTTACGCGATTACTTCGTCGTTTATGGATTTTGATGATTCTTTGTTGGAAAGAGGGTACCTCAGTCCGATTTAAATTTAAAGAAAATATTCCACGTAGCTAAATAGGAGATAAATCAGATTTATCATTATATTTATCATCATCAACCCATTTATACAACCCTCTACTGACCGAGCACGGATCTCCTCTTAGGCAAGGGTAAACTTAATCAGCCACACTGGCTCAATGCGGATTGGGGATTTCAGATGTTTTCCGATGGTTGTGAGTCATCTTTGACGTGCAGGTTTCATCACGATGTGTCTTGTAAAAGATCACTGTAAATTTCAAATTAAATTTCTCAAAAATTCCGAGAAACTCAATTCTGATATTAAGCAGTTGGGAACCTTCGTAAAGGCGAAATATCACATTCCATCCGTAAATGCTTACATAATAATGTTCCTTCTTCTATGTACCTCGACAATAATACAAACACAATGTGTCACAACAATATGATTAGCAAAAACACAAGTGTGGCAATACGTATACCTGCCTGTCAATGTGATTAGTCTACTAGTCTCTGGGGCGCATACCAATGATTTCCCGGCGCGCACACACCTCGCCACTCTACTCAATTAGGCGGTAATATTAATGAGAAAAGCACAACTTTCCACTGTTAATGATGACGTAAAAGTTAATAACGCGAACCATATGACAATTGATGATATCGGCATGTATAATAAGAAGCTTAGTGTAACTCCACACAAACGTAGCTGCGCGGCTTGTATGTGTGCACGCACACCCGCGTGATGTACGGACGCACACGTTCACATAATCTCGCCGTGCACTCGAATTGCACAGCGCGTGTCACACGCGCCACTCATTATAGAATTTACATAACAGAAAAATAATTAATATTTATTTGCATATAATTTATATGTAATACGAGAGTAATCATAGGCAAAAACTTGATACTTGTTTTTGCTATTTGCGAACAACCAGGCGTTAGATAAAATGAAATATAGATTAAATGGTGTCATGTCGAGGTTTATAAATTATGATCAATTGTCGGAAAAAGGTGTTCCACATATATAGATACAGCTACAAAGAGCTACATAGAGTTGTTAAAGCCACTAAATATTAATTAATTACTGTTTCGAATTCCGGATTCCCGGAAATGGTTTTACTGCATCGTAGGACAAAACTACTGACCTAGAAAGTCGTATGGATTTTAAAGTAATTCTAATGGTGCCATGTAAAAAATGCAGTAGATAACTGATCTTTCACCAAAAGAGAATAATAAAGTAACGAGAATAGACATTTTCCACTCCTTCCTAGTTTTGACGTTAACATTGACGGAACGGCGACATTTGCTAGTAGAACTTAAGAAATAAATTCCGGAAATCTGGAATTCGAAAAAGTAATTAATTCATATTTGGCGGATTTAACAACTCTATGTCGCTCCTTGTAGCTGTATCTATGCATGTGGAACACCTTTTTCCGACCATTGATTATGATTCTAGATATTAACAATATTTGAGACCAATTATATTAAGTGGTCCTAACTTTAACTTTACATAACACAGAAATACGATAACCTGCTTGACCGTTTTCTATCGGACACATTTTTTTTTTTTTTTTTTTATTGTGACTCGGCAAAATGACTGCCCGCGCCTGATGGAAAGTGCGAATACAGTCCAGAGATGAGAGTAACGGATGGAAAACACAAATATCTTCACTCCGTCACTATCATTTTGCCGGTCTGGCCAAATGCTTCTTCACACTACGTTTGAAGGACCCGATGTTATAGAGGGGAGGGAATACATGCGCCGGGAGTTGGTTCCACAAGTTGATGGTTCGGCATAAGAACGAATTGCCAAACTTTTTAGTGCGGGACGGTATTGAACTGACCGTCCAACTGTGGCAACGCAGTCCGGCACGGGTGGTCCGCTGATGGAAAGGAGAGGAAGGGATAAGGTTGAATAACTCTTCAGAGCACTCACCGTGGTACAGGCGATAGAATACGCTAAGAGACGCTATATCTCTGCGAAGCTGTAACGACTCCGCATGCTCAGTTACATGAGGATCGTTGACAACACGGAAGGCGTTTTCGGGGCTTGCGCCAGGAATTTTACATTATAGTACCACCCCTCACCCTTCCTCCTTACGTCGACAAGAGAATCCGAAACACTCCATTCTTATGTCGTCGATATAACACGCATTCGCACGAAACGATTTGCTTCCTATTTCTTAAGCGCTTACGGCAAATGAAAGAAATATTTCTAGCGAAGGGTCCATATAACATGATTTTCGTCTGTTGAATAGAAAATGTCTAGCATTGCAGATTTAACTGCGTACCTTCTAAATTGGCTTACGTTCTTCAAATATCTTTGATGATACTAAGTGAAGGACGAACAAGTCGTGCGCCTAGTGATAAGCGACATGCCTGTCCGTAGCGGTTGCAGTGCCACGCAGTTTGAAATCGCAAAGATCTGAGGGGCACTGCCACAACTCTCGTCACCCTGAGACTCTTTACTCACGCCATCTAGCGAATGGCGCAAGCAGCAGCAAGCGACCAATCATACGGGGGGACATGGGCGGACCTTATTTTAAAGGATTGCGATTTCTACATCGAAAATAGTTTTTTAATCCGTAAGGTGGGTCGCAAATTAAAGATGGCGGTTATTTAAAGTCGAAAATGTTGTTTTGTGAGAGTTTTGGTTTCTGTGGGGATACCAAAAATAAGAGATTCAGATTTCAAGATAATGCAAATTTTTCATCAATTTAAATATAATATAATATTTAATATGTTAGATAACTTTTACTACTAGTGCTCATCTATTTCTAATATAAGTCTTTGATAGATAACTTTGTACATAATATAATGTCTATGCCGTAATTCATTAGAGTAAGCCAAAATGCTCTCCAGATAAACTAGTTGTTTTAAAAGGGATATTATATGACCAGTATATGATTAATACTATTATTCATCGGCGCCTTCAAAAGCGGAACATAGTAATGCTCACATTATCGCTTGGCGGCAGAAATAGGTAAGGTGGCAGTACTTCCCTGAACGGATACTTTTACAATTTTTATTTAACCATGTACTCGTATAATTGAATTATATCAATACTTTTAAAATATAGAAGACAAACTTGGCAGTAAAAAGTAGAAAGTTGAGGTCAATAAGCGTTAAAAGGCAACTCTCATTGAGGTCTTTGTTCGCTGCTAATGTGTTTGTGAGGTGAACCATACTCGACCCAACTGTACGGAACAAATGATTTTTTCCGCAATTTCAAAGCGTTCCCCATACTAAATAAAGGTTGATCAAAGTGTTAGGCAAAATCACTTCCTAAAAATATCGTAGACCTTTAGAGGTAAACCTGTACTCCGTCTATTATTTAGGTGTTGACTGCATTCAGTCAGAACAGACAGAAACCATTGAAAGATATATTTCAACAATGATCCAATGACTTCTACTTACATAATTGAAATTGGCACTTAAGGTATTGAAAACATATTTATTAATGAATTTGATAATTGACGAGAAGCTTTCGCTCCTATGTCTGCAAAACGCAGTGATGAAATTATTAGTTTTTGTTTTAAGTTATCAGTCAGGACTTCGAATATGCGTTTCAGTATAGACGCGACGTGTGTTTTTACACTTAAAAATTTAATTCGCCTGTATGCCACTTATCGACGATCATAACCTCATAGTGCAAAAAAGCCCAGCCTGCTGTTGACTGTATACTACATTTTATCGCAATATGTCCATAGCGGCGTCAAAACATAAAATAAAGAGTCGTAAGATACTACCTATCTATTTGTAGATAATAAATTTAATTTCAAATTTTGATTTTAAATTAAATTTATCAACAGTAATTGTGGACAGGTCGGGTATCTAAATAATGTCAATCGTGACTGTCGTTTATTTGATAATTCTTTTGTTTACAATTGCTCTTTTCCGTTCACTCTTGCAAACACGGTCCTGCTTATATTATATGTAATATCACTGTTTAGCCTTATATATCAAATCATAAGTATTTATGTAAACGTAACCAGGAACTCAATGCGACCTTTGCCAGTTTTTCTGTCTACGTGGCACTCCCAAGACAAGCAACGTCCCTTTAATAGGTGCTCTCCCCTCTGTGCTCAATTAATTACCATGAATGAGAAAACTTGTCTTCAGAAAAAACAGACTTGATATATGTTAATGCGCTCAGCCGAATAAATGAGGGTGAGGCTAAATTAGATGTAAATGATGGAAAATTTGGTTGTTGTTTTAAGAAACTTCTGAGAAATCTGCCTGGTACACAAACGAACATCTGTTACGGCGCTAATACAAAGTTTATAGTCTTTCATACCTTATAATTAAAGTTACTTTATCAAAACAAATATATATGAAACGGGATACGGGAATCTAATGGATGAAAGTAGGTATTCCTTCTGGTCTCTCTGACAGTAAGTGATGAGATACCGAGGCAAATAGACCCTTGTGTACAATAGATGAAGAGTTTATGTGCAAGGAGTTTCTGGGTAAGTTATTATATGATCGGTCTTGTGGTTATGTACCTCATCGTTGGGGTCGTAGTACTGCTCGAGGTAGGGATGCGCGAGCGCTTCCTCGACGGTGATGCGCTTGTGTGGGTTGAAGGTCAACATGCGGTGCAGCAGGTCGAGTGCGCGTGCGTCTGCGCCGGGGAACAGCTCGGTCCACGGCACGCGTGGCTTGAACGGCAACGACTCAAGATACCCGCGAGCCTATGTAAAAAAAAAACACAACGATATTTAGTTGCAACAGGCGTCCATAAATCAATCTTATAAGAACGACCGAAGGGTATAATTTTAATTATAATTGAAGTACGCCTAAACCAATTGAGATATTGAACGTACTTTACACTCTTTTTTGTTTAGAACAAAACAAAATAGTTAGTCAATCGACAAAACGGGTTTTCTTATAGCATTGAACAGTTTCACATTAGTCAATAAAATCGTGTTAAATTTGTTGAATTTATGATAAAATCATACCAAATACCGTAGCTAAACCTGACAAGAAAAAATTGGAAAATAGCCAACGCTTTTGATTTAAGATCCTAAATGAAAGCGCACCTTCCAATACGCAGAGATATTAATACTCATTGTTAATTTTTATCAAATGTTATACTAGAATGTATACTTTCATTAATTTGACGTTGATTGTACTAAGTGGCATTCATTTAAGACGATGAAACCTAAAATAGACATTATGATGTATTTCGATCACATGGAAAATCGGTCGACATTAAAAAAATACGAATTAGAGTTGTTGTTTTTTCTAATGATGAAAATTGAAGATACCGGTATGGCGCCCGTAACACGATTGACTAAACCTCCCTCGATAAAAAATCACAAAGTTCCGTAAAATTTTCATTTTTTCCTTCGTAAATCTACGGAAAAATCCGTTTCATTCTGTTGTTATTTATTAGAGATATTTCAATCAAATTTTCTCCCGTGTGCTCCGTAATAAATACGTCAGGGGACTATGAGCTTATTTTACAATAAGAGAATGTATTTTACTTTTAAAAGGCAAATGTATACCTAGACATCATATTATTTAGAATTAGAAAAAACGTAAACAAAAAGCATTGATTGATGATTGATGTAAACCTTTTTCGTCAGTCAACAAATTACAGTAAAGAAAATAAATGATAAGTGATATTTGATAATGACACGATCATATGTTATTTTATTAAAAGTTTCCCTTTTTTTGTTGGGAAGCTCTGCTTTTTTAAGATTTCTAAGTATGAAAGAAAGATAGAAATTTTTCACGTAATTTATTATAGTGAGTACTACGAGTAAAAAAACGTATTGCTTAAGGTTAATAATGAAATTAACTGACTTTATCTTCCTTCAGCACAACTCGCCTTTATTCTACCGTTTTTGTAATGATAACTTTTTTATTGAAAAAAAAAACCTACTTAAAATGTTTGTGGAATTATTTTACTTCAAGTGGGTGAAATCCAGTAAACCGGATTCATCCTCTAATTTTCCACCCCTAGAAGTGGAAAATTTTTGTTAAATTTAAAATAAGACCACTATTGAGGTACTCCTTTCCGACAAAAAAGAATTATCGAAATCGGTTCTTAAATGGCGGAGTGATCGTGTCACATACACACATAAAAAAACAATGTTAGATTTTACAGATACTACTCATTCTTTCGATTTGGAATTGAAAGCTATAACCCATTGGATCTACACGCTTTGTGCGCTCAAAGGCACTATCGGTTGTGCCCAGCATTATTTTTACGCATGACTTGCTTCAAAAACAAAGGCTTAGTGGACTTGATACGGGTGAAGACAAGCGTGGAAGAATAAACAAACCTAAGAAAAGAATAAAAACCGGGATTTTTATACAGCCTAGTATTAGTATACGATCTAGCATTTTGTATTATCTCCCGACGCAAAAGGGGGGAGTTATATGTTTCAAGCCTTTATCTGTGTACCTATGTGATTTTTTTAAATAATACCAAGTGACGCGGCGAATAACTAGAACATCTGGTGGTAAGCGCCACATCTATCGCAAAGATCTGAGGGGCATTGCCACTGCGCCCATCACCTTGAGACATAAAGTTGACAAGTCCTATGTGCCCGTAGTTTCACCAGCAGCACCAGCATTTGTACCCTTCAAAACCGGAATGCAGTAATGTGAGCATTACTGCTTGGCGGCTGAAATAGATATAGTGGCAGCACTTCCCTGGACGAACTCTTTTACAAGGATGCATACTACTAAATGATATCTAGTAGATAAAAATGATCGAGACTGCGGATTTTATTAAATTACGCTTTGTAAGGTATCCCACTGTTGACGACTCATCCTTCTGACCGCACCTTTTCGGCAATCAAATGTCTTTAAAATTATAGTTTTTTTGTACTAAATTGTAAGCCGCCAGTATAAAGGCCCGTTTAGATGGAGAGAGTTTCTCGCACGCTTCGTGACGAAAACTCGTAGGCGATTATTGTAAGCAATAATCGCCATAAGATTATCGTATCATAATGTTTACATTCAGGCAAGAACTAAAATCTCGCCTACGATTATATCGTACGTGATTCGCAAGCAACTTAATCGCCTCTTCGACTGTTTACATCGAGAAATATGTAGAAGGAGATTCTTGCTTACGAGTTTTCGACTTGTCTAAACACGATCTCGTATGACATTTTTTCAAGTTCATACGATTATTTTAACTGCCTCCGTGGCCGAACGGTTACCATACCGGACTGCCACGCAGAGGTCCCCGGGTTCGATTCCAGGGCCGGGAGAAATATTTGTATGGCCTACATTTATTTCTCTCGTGAGTTTGGGTGTAATTTGTGGTTGTCTATGTGTGTGTCCATGGCACACGCGACACAGGGTTTTCCTAGTGCGGGACTAAGTTGAGTGTGTGCGTTATTATTATTATATTTTCGTACAAATCGGTTCGAGCCGTTTTGAGTGCGAGAATTGCCATTCGAGTTCAGTGATTACTGCTGTATTGACTATGGAAATATCAAAATGACGCGAAAATCATTCAAATTTGGAACTGCTGATAATAGTAAGTTCATTGCACTGTATAAATATTTTTTTTTTTTTAATTTTATAACATTACTTAATCCAAAATTGTTTTTCGTTCTCGTTTCATTAATTCTAGTCTTAGAAAAGCAGTGATAATCAAAACACCCTCGCGCACTGCACTCGCGGTAGCAACGGCTGGCACAGAAACTCGAAATACGATTTTAGCTTTCGAGTTTTGTTTACACGGAGACGTTCAATATTCAAAGGCGAGGCGATTATCGCTCACGTGGACTATCGATAATCGCGAATGTTTAGACGAGGAAAATTTTTTATATTCTTTCGATAATCGTATCTTCGAGACGATAAACTCTCTCCATCTAAATGGGCCTTTAAGGATTAATTTCGCTGGACATAAAAAAAAACTGTAGATTTAATTTAAATTTATACCAGTTAAGGTATTTTGATTTTTTATTATCATTTTTGCTGAAGTGTTAGCTAATTTTTGTTGTGTAAATTCATAATCATTACGGGCTATTGCACACTGTCAGTGTGGATCCGATTGATATTTTTGTATTATTATTAATATGTATTTTTTTTTGGTGTTCCATGTCAATTACTTTTCTTTTACGCTTTAGTGGTTTCATCGGACAATATGAAACAATATTTTCTCTGTTTTTTTTTCTCAACAAAACAATATACTAGTATTTCACCAGAGCATTCGTATTATTGACGTCATGTAACAAAATGAGAATCTATTTACTTAACCCTTCATGAACAGGACTTCCAAAATTATACCGCCCACAAAAATGGCACTACTTTTCTTGCCGTAGTGCTTTCATCGGTTTCAAGCAGTAATGTGAGCATTACCACGTTCCGGTTTTGAAGGGTAAGGGTGCTGGTGAAATTGCAGGCACATAGAACTTAAGTCTCAGGGTGAGCGCTTGTCCCTCAGGTCTTTGCAATTTAAAACTCGGAGTGGCACTGCAACTGTTATGGACAGTTGTGTAGCTTATCACCAGGCACACGACTTGTTCGTCCGGTCACTTCATATGATAAAGTAAAAGAAATAAATAAAAAGTTCAATTATAAAAAAAAACGATATGTTCCTTTTCATCATCAGATTAGCCCTAGGCTAGAGTTATCATGAGGATCTCACAAAATGGCTCAGAACTCACATACTATATCACACTTCACATACAACTTACATACAATCATTATTTATTTTGTTTTATGAAATATACCGAATACGATATTACTATAGTATAAATAAAGGCTCCCACGGCTCATGGCCTGTGCCTACCCGTGCTCGCCCGTGACAGCCCGTTCGGGTCCACCCCTGGTCTGTCTTCTTCGATCGGTAACATCTATGTGTCAAGTTTTATTGAAATCGGTTAACGGAAAGTGAGTGAAATTGAATAAACTAATACCTAATAATAATTATGCGCACACTCAACATAGTCCCGCACTAAGGAGCCCTGAGTCGCGGGTGCCATGGACACACATAGACAACCACAAATTACACACAAACTCACGAAAGAAATAAATGTAGGCCCTACAAATATTTCTCCCTGCCCGGGAATCTAACCTGAAATCTCTGCGTGGCGTTCCAGCATGGTAGCCATTCGGCCACGGAGAACTTGATTTCAGTACCTCATTTGCCACTCTCAGGATATTTTCATAAAAATGGAAGTAAATTAATTTGCTATTCCGCGACTCCGGTAGAGGTAAAATCGTGTAAAGTTGCTGCGCTTGTGTTGAATATTTTTTCATGCAATTAATTTACCCACCGGGAGGCTGGGATCCGCATAAAATTAATAAAATAAATAGGTAACACAAGCGCAATTACAGTCACAGACACTACCAATAAATATATACCCGGTGATGGTATTTGTGACTTACTACTACTAACCTTCACCGGGTTACTACTACTACTACTACTACTACTACCTACTACTACTACTACTACTACTACTAACCTTCACCGGGCGGAGTAGCAAATTAATTTACTTCAATTTTTATTAATATGGACTTCCGCAAAGTAACGTCTGAATGTATTAATTACTTAGGACATTTTCGTCAAATTTGAATGGGAGTACTACAGAGCTACCCCCTTAACAACGAAAAAAAATCATCAAAACCGGTTCAGAAATGTCAAATTCCGTAACATACAAACAAAAAAAAAGTACACTCGAATTTAGAACTTCCTCAGAGAAGTGTAAAAAAAATCCCTGTA